GTGCTAGATTTGAACCCGCCACCTTAGGTGTATGTGGCTGGCGCCTTAGCTGCTTGAGCCACAGGCACCAAGCCTAACTCTTGTTTTCAAGTGATCCTCTTGCCTCAGTTTTTCTATTTTTAGTAGAGACAGGATCTCGCTCTTGCTCAAGCTGGTCTCGAACCTGTGAGCTCAGGCAATCCACCTGCCTTGGTCTCCCAGAGTGCTAGGATTACAGATGTGAGCCACCATGCCCAGTCCCTTGGGACCTTTTTGTATTTGCTAGTCCTCCTGCCTGGGCTGCTCTTCCCCAGGGTGTCTAGATAATTGCCTGGCTTCCTCCTCGTCTCCTCCAGGTCTCTTCAAAACTCGCCCTGCACACATCTCTCTCACCCATGTTACTCTCCTATCTCCTTATCTGCCTTTCTTTTCAGCATTTGTTGCCATCTGACATAGCATATCTATTCGTCTACTTGTTTACTGCCTGTTTCCCACTATTGTGTCAGGTCCATGGAGTCTGTCTTGTTCCCCGAGTGCCTAGAACAGTGCTTGGCACACAGTAGGAACTCAATCAATATTTCTTGAATCAATGAATGAACATTTAAGGGCCACTGACCAGTTGACATGCAGATGCTTGATTGCCATTTATTATCCATTCATGAATTCATTAATTTATTTTTATTTTTATTTTTTTGAATTCATTCATTCTAATTGTGAAAATTTTCTTTTCTGTTTCACACTTTCTAAAGTTCTTCTCAGGTACACAGAGAGACCTTCAGGACCTTGGAGAGCAAAGAGCCCTGATCACACCAACAAAGAGACACCCAGGGAATCCCAGATGTACCTGTAGAAGCATTCAGCCCCACTCAACTCAGACACCCCACCCCCCATGATGGGCAGGGCAGGGATGGGGAACTCCATTGGGTGCCTGGTCCAGCCTAGGGGTCAGGGAAGGCCTCCTGGAAAAAGGGATGTTGGAACCTGAAAGTCTACTGAGGATAAGCCGAAGTAAATTGAGGAAGAGTATGATGAACACATGATTTTTCCCCACCATGTTGGAACATTTACTATACCAACACATGAATGAAAAACTGAACATAAGGATGAATGAATGGAGTCAGTTTGGAAGACAGGGTAGCAGTTCTTCAAAAAATTAACAGGGTAGCAGTTCTTCAAAGAGTTACCATATCACCCAGCAGTTCCACTCCTGGGTGTTTACCCGAAGGAATTGAAAACCAGCCAGGAGCAATGGTTCACCCTTGTAATCCCAGCACTCTGGGGAGTGAGACCCCATCTGTACCAAAAATAGAAAAACTAGTCAGCTATGATGGTGGGCACCTGTAGTCCCAGCTACTCAGGAGGCTAAGGCAAGAAGATCCCTTGAGCCCAAGAATTTGAGGTTGCTGTAAGCTATATCCCCACAGCATTCTACCCAGGGCCACAGAGTGAGACTATTTCAAAATAAATAAATTGGCCAGGTGTGGTGGCTCACACCTGTAATCCTAGCACTCTGGGAGGCTGAGGCCAGTGGATTTGAACCCTGAGCTCAGAGGTTCAAGACCAGCCTAAGCCAGAGTGAGACCCTGTCTCTACAAAAAAAAAAAAAAAAAAAA